ATAGAAAAAGATAAAAAAGAGGTAAAAATGCACTAGGAACGCCTATTTTCAAATGAAAATTATTCGTGCATTTTTTTTCCCCTTTTATTTAGCATGTCTTAAGTTTTGTTTCAAACTCTCAAAATCAACTTAAATTGAATGTAATCCTAAAAGCGTCATAACTCAGTAATTGACCTAGTGATATATGTTATTGTTAGGCTGCATAATTGTTAGATTTTCATATTTTTTAACAAAAAAATGCATATGTACACTATGAAATTTCATATTTTTGTTTTTATTGAATTTTAAATCATGACACTTGTTGAGTACAAAAATATGTATATTTATAAGAAGATTGTGAACGTGTAACCATTAGGAAGACTAACAAATGACCTACTAGGCTCCCTAATCGTTAGACATCCATAATTATATAAAAAAATGCATACTTATGCTATGAAATATCATATTTTTATTTATGTTGTATTTTAAAGTATGACGCTTGTTAAATATGAAAGTATGTATTTTTAAAATAGAACATGAATGTCTAACAATGCATTAGACAAATATTGTTCTTAGGTTGTTTAACCATTAGACTNCATATTTTGTTTACATTTATGTATTCATATTATCATATACTTATTACTATTTATTAGTGATCATGATAGTAATATTTTTGTTCATGCAACAAATGCCTATACTTAAAAAATTCATTATACACATAATCATGCATAAACCCGAATGCCAAACAATAAGTTTGTTAATTAGCTCATTGTTTAATTTGTCTGAGAAAAAATGGTTTGTTTGCAGGCGGTCAATGGACATGTACATGTACACAAGCATGACACCTCCCACAGTAAGCTTCTTAAAAAAAAGCAGCTCTTTCTTGAATAATTTCACACACGATAAAAATCCACAACATTCCTTGTTCGAACCTTTCGTATCCTCCTCGACAATAATATTATCGGACGACGAAGAAAGAAGCGGGCCCACCTCGACACTTCCCATAAGGCCCGAGTTAATAAGGAGCTCTCTATGCGAACTTCCGGAGCAGTGTTCGTACACTCAGTCGGTTCTAAACGGTAATTATTCGCATTTTTACGATTCTATTTTCGTTCTTTATATATAAAATAAAAAAATTGGCGAACGGTATTCATAAATGGTAATGTTAGTTTGAAATAATAGTCATTTTGCCCTCTGCAATGACACAACTACCCTTGCTATCACCATAAACTGTTTATAGAAATCTGGGATTCCAGTAATGGTTTCTAGACATGGTTTATGCATTCATAAGTGGTAATATTAGTATGAAATAATAGTCATTTTACCATGTGCAATGACACATTTACCCTTACTATCCAGAAACTGTCTATAGTAACATGGGATTCCAGTAATGGTTTCTAGACATTGTTATTATGTGTTCTAGAAATCATTTCTGAATTATAATTGCACAGGGCAAAATGACTATTATTCATACTTTCACAAAAAGTGACTATATTTCACTATATTCATAATCGTGATTGTCTCTTCTCGAAAAAAAANGCAGCCGTAAATGCACTTTGCGGGATAGGTATCCTTTCGACTCCTTACGCGCTAAAAGAAGGAGGGTGGTTGAGTTTACTTCTTCTTTTCTTGTTCGGGATTATAACGTGTTATACCGGGATATTGTTAAAGAGGTGTTTGGATAGCTCGTCTCAGTTGCAAACTTATCCGGATATCGGGCAGGCTGCTTTCGGCTTAACCGGACGAATGTGCATTGCCGTAAGTAGTACTTCATCGTGTAGAAAATTTGTAGATTATTCTGTTGATTTGGGAAAAAAAATAATAGTTAATGCGTAGAATTTGTAGATGATATGGTAATTATTCGAACACTAATCCGTTCATTTTTGAAAAATTACTCGAAGAGTAGAATTTGTAATTATCTAGTTGTTCGATCACTAATCCCTCGACGTTGGGAAATAAAAATTACTTAATGCATAGAATTCGTAGATTATAAGGTCGATCACTAATCCGTCGATTCTGGAAAAAATAGTTAATGCATAGAATTCGTAGATTATAAGGTTGTTCGTACACTAATCCGTTGATTTTGTACCAAAAAAAAAAGTTACTTAATGCATAGAATTTGTCGATTATATGGTTGTTCGATCACTGATCCATTGATTTTTCGGAAAATTTTCGCAGGCGATACTGTATGTGGAGCTATATGTAAGTAACTAAACTTCTTGTCATGTAAAATAAAATAAAAAATGCGTCCCTTTTTTTTCCGATTTTGCAACGAAACTAAATTTCAGAACTGTTCTTTTCATTTACTATAGTCTTCGTGTGTCGAGTTCTTGATTGTGATGAGTGATAACCTGTCGGCCTCATTCCCGAACATACAAATGGATTTTGCCGGCATTCATCTCGACTCATATCAAATTTGCGCCATATGTTCAACAATCGTCATTCTCCCGACAGTTTGGCTCAGGAATCTCAGCCTGCTTTCATACGTTTCACGTCTGTATTAGAAGCTTTTTTTTTTTCCTTTCTTTTTTGTTTTTTCGAGCCTCATATTATTATTATTATTTTTTTTTTCAGTTGGTGGTGTGGTGACGTTAGCTCTTGTGGTGTTTTGTTTGCTCTGGGTTGGCGTGGCTTCGGATCTCGGATTTCACCCGAGTGGAAGAGCATTGAATTTTTCAAATATTCCTATAGCTATTGGTATATATAGCTTTTGCTACGGAAGCCATTCGGTTTTTCCGAACATATATTCGTCAATGAAGGAGCCTTCTCGATTTCCTTCGGTGCTAGTTATCAGGTAATTTCACATGTTTCATTGTATAACCAATTA